GGTCCAGAGAAGAGCAACAAGAATGATTAAAGGTCTTGAGAACATGACCTATGAAGGAAGGCTGAAAGAATTGGGTTTGTTTAGTTTGGAAAAGAGAAGACTGAGAGGGGACATGATAGCAGTTTTCAGGTATCTAAAAGGGTGTCACAAGGAGGAGGGAGAAAACTTGTTCACCTTAGCCTCTAAGGATAGAACAAGAAGCAACGGGCTTAAACTGCAGCAAGGGAGGTCTAGGTTGGACATTAGGAAAAAGTTCCTAACTGTCAGGGTAGTTAAACGCTGGAATAAATTGCCTAGGGAGGTTGTGGAATCTCCATCTCTGGAAATATTTAAGAGTAGGTTAGATAAATGTCTATCAGGGATGGTCTAGACAGTATTTGGTCCTGCCATGAGGGCAGGGGACTGGACTCGATGGTCTCTTGAGGTCCCTTCCAGTCCTGGAATCTATGAATCTATGAAACCTATGAATCTAGGTGCACATTTCCCCTCTGCAGTGAGTTACTTTCTTAGCTGCTTGTACAAACTCAGCCTGTTGCAGAGGAGATGCTGCCTGTCTTTTACAGCACCTAGCGCAGTGGGCCTGGACCAAAATCACTGGCAGCGCTGTAATTATCTCAGGCACAGGGGGCGGACAGACCAATCCCATGATTTAGACTTTTGAGAAGTTCCTGTGATTGTTGGGACCTGGGGGACACTGCATTAGATGCAGCCCTTAGGCAAGCTGCCCATGGGGTTCTGCATTAGAGAGCCTTCAGGTGCCCCTAAGTTAGACTTGCATCTCACTCTTGCCTGCCTTAAGAGGAGGACAGCAGGAAGAGGCCTGCAGGCAATGTCCCATGCCCGCCAGGGTCCAGTCCTGCATCATCAAGGGCCTCTCCTGAAGTCAGAGCCCCTGCTTGTATCCCCCCATGTGGGATGAGTGTGTATTTGGGGGCTCCTAGACAGAGGAGCTGGTTAGCCCCTTCTGTGCTGTGCCTAGAGTGCTCCTGCCATGACCTGCCATTCATGCTCCTCTTTGCCTGCAGGTCTCTTCCAAAGAGCCATCATCCAGAGTGGCTCTGCTCTCTCCAGCTGGGCAGTCAACTACCAGCCTGTGAAGTATACCAGCCTGCTGGCCGACAAGGTAGGCTGCAACGTGCTGGACACTGTGGACATGGTGGATTGTCTGCGACAGAAGAGTGCCAAGGAGCTGGTAGAGCAAGATATCCAGCCAGCCCGCTACCACGTGGCCTTTGGGCCCGTCATCGATGGAGATGTCATCCCGGACGACCCTGAGATCCTGATGGAGCAGGGCGAGTTCCTGAACTACGACATCATGCTGGGGGTGAACCAGGGTGAGGGGCTGAAGTTCGTGGAGGGTGTGGTGGATCCCGAGGATGGTGTCTCGGGCAGTGACTTTGACTACTCTGTCTCCAACTTTGTGGATAACCTATATGGCTACCCAGAGGGGAAGGACACCTTGCGGGAGACCATCAAGTTCATGTACACAGACTGGGCGGACAGGGACAACCCCGAGACACGTCGCAAAACCCTGGTGGCCCTGTTCACTGACCACCAGTGGGTGGAGCCGTCAGTGGTGACGGCTGACCTGCATGCTCGCTACGGCTCCCCAACCTACTTCTACGCCTTCTACCACCACTGCCAGAGCCTCATGAAACCCGCATGGTCTGACGCGGCCCATGGAGATGAGGTGCCTTACGTCTTCGGGATCCCCATGATTGGCCCCACTGACCTCTTCCCTTGCAATTTCTCCAAGAACGACGTCATGCTCAGCGCCGTGGTGATGACCTATTGGACCAACTTTGCCAAGACTGGGTGAGGGATGCTCTGCCCTCCCTGGGCCTGTGTGTGGTGTGTGTGTGGGTCTGTCCACCTCCCTGTGTGTGTCTGCACGCATGTGTGTGTGCATGCGCCTCCCTCTGTGTGTGCACCCGACCCACTGTATGTGTGTGTGCATGCTCCTCCCTCTGTGTGCACACCTCCCTGTGTGTGGTGTGTGTGTCTGTCCACCTCCCTGTGTGTGTGCATCCGCCTCCCTGTGTGTGTGTGCATGCTCCTCCCTCTGTGTGCATACTTCCCTGTGTGTGTGTGTGTCTGCCAGCCTCCCTGTGTGTGTGTGCATGCACCTCACTATGTGTGTCTGCACGCATGTGTGTGTGCATGCTCTTCCCTCTGTGTGCACACCTCTGTGTGTGTGTGTGTGCCAACCTCCCTGTGTGTGTGTGTGCATGCGCCTCGCTGTGTGTGTCTGCACACGTATGTGCACGCTTCCCTCTGTGTGTGTGTTCACCCACCTCCCTGTGTATGTGTGCACGCATGTGCGTGTGCATGCTCCTCCCTCTGTGTGCACACCTCCCTGTGTGTGTGTGTGCCAGCCTCCCTATGTGTGTGTGTGCATGCGCCTCCCTGTGTGTGTGTGTGCATGTGCCTCGCTGTGTGTGTGCACACTTCCCTGTGTGTGTGTGTGTCTGTCCACCTCCCTGTGTGTGTCTGCATGCATGTGTGTGTGCATGCTCCTCCCTCTGTGTGCACACCTCCCTGTGTGTATGTGTGTGCCAGCCTCCCTGTGTGTGAGTGTGCACCCGCCTCCCTGTGTGTGTGCATGCGCCTTGCTGTGTGTCTGCACACGTGTGTGCACGCTTCCCTCTGTCTGTGTGTGCGTGTGTGCATGTGCCTCGCTGTGTGTGTTTGCATGCATGTGTGTGTGCATGCTCCTCCCTCTGTGGGTGCACACCTCCCTGTGTGTGTGTGTGTGTGTGTGTGCGTGCCAGCCTCCCTGTGTGTGTGCACATACGCCTCCCTGTATGTGTCTGCACACGTGTGTGTGAATGCCTCCCTCTGTGTGTGTTTGTGTGCATGCGCCTCCCTGTGTGTGTGTCCACGTGCACCTCCCGTGTGTGTGTGCATGTGCCTTACTGGAGTTTGTATTAGTGTGGCAGGAGAGTGTGTCTGCACACCTTCCCTCTGTGTGTGTGTGTGTGTTTGCACAGTCACACTCTGGGGTACAATCCAGACTAATAAGGGTTGTGTCACCATCTGCCCCATAACCTGCGGATCTCACTATGCTTTGCTGTCACAACTCCCTCTCACGACCAGTCACCAGCATGCAGGGCACACCCTGAGTGGTTGTGTGTAGCTGGAGCACTCATCCCACCAGCCACACTCTGCCTGTCACAGCCTTGGCTGCTACCTGCGGGGTGACCCTGACACATGGCCAGGCCTGAATTTTCCCCCAAAACGTGTCTTCGGCGCCGTCCAGTTCTTTCCCAGGCAGCTTAGATATTACAGATCCATTGCCCCTGTAAGGGGTCAGTGCACAACGGTTTGCTACTTCCATTGGCGTTCAGTGTCAACACAGCACTGGATTAGGTCTGCTTAAAAACACAAACCTGTTTGTTTAACTACCGAGAGCTAGATCTGAAGAAAGAAGAGAGGTATAAGGCAATACCATGAGAAATGGTTACGAGAGAAATAAAGCTAAAACACTTCCCAGTAACTAAGACTTAATGAGCTAGACGTGGTTCACGGTCAAATCCCTACCACATGCTCCCAGCAACAGGGCTGACTAAATGTTCATCTCAGTCCCTGCCAGAGCCCAAAGCCTGGTTCCTGTGCCCTCCTAGGGCAGGCCCGTTTTCAAATGGAGGCCCCTCTGGAAACTTAGCCATAGTGTGGGGACCCCCAAAGATCTGCAGCCCACAGGTTGAAAACCACCGTCTTAGGTGAGAGAGCAACTCCCTGGGGTGTTTTAGCCCCTCACTTTTATCGTCCAGTTCCCCTTAAAATGTGTTTTCCTGAGGGGTTCCCCTGGGAAAGTTCCTTCCCACCGTGAGGATGGAGACCTGGAGTCTGGTGGTGAAAGAGGTTCCATGCTGTTTGCTAAACCACAGATCCATCTGTTCCTGTCCCCGCTTGTTGCCAAAGAATGGCCACGTGACTGGTGATGGCCAATCAACTTTGACACCTGGCAAGAGGTGTCAGCTTGTCCTTTGTCTTTGAGAAACAGGCTTACCCCCTCCCCAGACTTGTCTGGTAAACACATTTCAGTCGTAATTTCATCTTATGTTCCTAACTGTACACAGAGAGGTGCTGCACACACGTCACCATGGTATTACTCACCAGTGAGTTACTAGTTCTCAAGTGATACCTCGTAAGACATATTTTGTATGAAGATTATTACAGTGGTGTAGGGTGTGACTGCAGGGGTGTCCGGTCTCACACCTCCCTGTGTGTGTGTGCACACCTTTCCAGAGGAAGGGGGTATGTGCTCCCTCCCTGTGTGCATGTGTGCACTCCCTCTGTGTGTGTGTGTGTGTGCCCTCGCTCCCCACACGTGTGTGTGTGTGCGCACGCATGCCCTCCCTCCTAACACGTGTGTGTGTGTGCGCGCGCCCTCCCTCCCCGCACGTGTCTGTGCGCATGCGCCCTCCCTCCCCACACGTGTGTGTGCGTGCGCACATGCCCTCCCTCCCCGCACGTGTGTGTGTGTGTGTGTGCGCATGCCCTCCCTACGTGTGCGCACCCTCTCTCTGGGGCACACTCTGGGGTCGGGAGTCTGGCAATCAGGGGAGGATCCTGCCCTGGGGTCAGGGCATCACTGCGGAGCTGCCTACACAGGCAGGGCCGTGGAGGGGCGGAATTTCTTGAGGCACTGGGAGGATGCTGGGAAATCCCACAAGCAGAGACGTGGATGCCATTCGGACGGGGTTGCTACACTGTGTTGGGTTAGCGTAGCTGCTTCCCTGCTTGGCTCCGTTGGCCGGCTCAGCGCTGGCTGGAGCAGCCTGGTGCGCAGCTGGGTCAGGCACCTACCTTGCCATTCTGGAGGGCCGAGTCCAATGGAGATTTCACCAGAGGGGGTGGGGCTGGGGGTGGGGGTGAGTTTAGCTTAAGCCTGCATTACAGTCTCTGTGCAGGAGCCCCTCACTGCAGCCAGGTGCCCGGCTCTGACAATGGGGGAAGCATGAGACCCAAGGTGAGAATCAAGGAGCATTGGCAGAGCTGGGCCAGCCGGGGGCTGATGAGCCCCAGCAGGGGCCATTCTGCACTCTGCGGGGCTCTAAGGTGCTGGTAGAGCCTCTCCCGATGGGCTGGGCCCTGTCTGCGTGTGGCTCCCGCAGAGCTCTGTGCAGCACCCTGTCTCTGCGTGTTTCTCCAGTGCCACATGGACGGTTTCTGTTGTGTTTCCCAGGGACCCCAACAAGCCTGTCCCCCAGGACACCAAGTTCATTCACACCAAGGCCAACCGCTTTGAGGAAGTGGCGTGGTCCAAGTACAACCCTCGCGACCAGCTGTACCTGCACATCGGCCTGAAGCCAAGAGTACGGGACCACTACCGAGCCACCAAGGTGGCCTTCTGGAAGCACCTGGTGCCCCACCTGTACAACCTGCACGACATGTTCCACTATACCTCGACCACCACCAAAGTGCCACCGCCAGACGCCACCCAGAACTCGCACATCACCCGCCGGCCCAACGGCAAAATCTGGACTACCAAGCGCCCAGCCATCTCCCCGGCTTACAACAGCGAGAACCCCAGGGAGAAGTGGAGCCCGGAGCAGGAGGCCGGCACGCTGCTGATCGAGAACCCCCGGGACTACTCCACCGAGCTGAGCGTCACCATCGCTGTGGGGGCCTCCCTGCTCTTCCTCAACGTGCTGGCCTTCGCTGCGCTCTACTACCGCAAGGACAAGCGCCGGCAGGACACACACCGCCAGCCCAGCCCCCAGCGCAGTGCCCCCAACGACATCGGCCACACGCCTGAGGAGGAGATCCCCTCCCTGCAGATGAACCAGGCCCACCACGAATGCGAGTCAGGGCAGGCACACGACGCCCTGCGGCTCACCTCCCTGCCCGACTACACGCTGACCCTGCGCCGCTCCCCAGACGACATCCCTCTGATGACCCCCAATACCATCACCATGATCCCCAACTCCCTGGTGGGCCTACAGACCCTGCACCCCTACAACACCTTTGCAGCAGGGTTCAACAGTACGGGGCTCCCGCACTCACACTCCACCACCAGGGTATAGCTCCAGGGGCTGTGCCCACCCATGCCCGCACACAGGGGACACTGGCTGGGGCAGCGGGAGCTGACGGATGCAGATTGGGCAGCACACACAGATGGATCCACCTGGCAGGGTGGAGCCGAGCCCCAGGGCCAGCAGGACCCCTGGTGCGGGACAGGTGGGCTGCTCGCCCCTCTGGCTCGCTCTTCTGATTTTACTTTGTAAAGTGCTTTGACTCTCCGTGTGCTGAGAGGGCTGACACCGGGGCAGCAGGGCCCAGCCAGAGCGGTGCAGGAGAATGGACAGCAGAGCAGGTGCAGAGAGTGTCACCCAGCCCTGCACACTGTATCTCGCTGGAAACCCCCGTGCAGGACAATGAGAAGGACCTGCCTGGGGAGGAGGTGATGGTGTGTCTGCCCCCTGGCCTGGACATGGCACTAGAGGACTCTGCGCCACTGGGGAGGTGGTGCCTCCTGGAGCCCTCTTTCCTACCCCCCAAGTACATTGGGGACTGGCTAGGAGCAGTCCTTGGCATTCTCTTTCCATTGGACCTGTTGGGTTGATTGAAATTTGCCATTCAAAGTGCCATGGAAAAGGCTCCAGCACTCTGTCAAATTGTGGTGTGAAGCAGCTGCCTTGGGCCACTGGTGCTGGGCAGGAGGGGCTCAGTGCCCAGTCTGGCGCCGGGTGGGAAGGCTCAGTGCCCGGGTTGGCGCTGGGCAGGGGGGCTCGGTGCCCGGTCTGGCGCTGGGCAGGGGGGACTCGGTGCCCGGTCTGGCACTGGGGTGGGGGCGAGGGCTCGGTGCCCAGTCTGCCGCGTGGGCAGGGGGACTCGCTGCCTGGTCTGGCGCTGGGCGGGGGGGCTTGGTGCCTGGTCTGAACCTGGGGGCTAAGGGCTCAGTGCCCGGTCTGGCGCTGGGCGGGGGGGCTTGGTGCCTGGTCTGAACCTGGGGGCTAAGGGCTCAGTGCCCGGTCTGGCGCTGG